GGAAATATATCCCGACTCTTCTCATCTAATTACACCAACTAGTCGCTATCACGTGCGTTGCACAAATTTTGTATTTATCGTATTTTTATTAGTGTATGAATTTTAGTTTTTTTGGAAAGTTTTTCAAGCAATATCTAAAAATATTTTCATGATATAAGAAAATAATTGCAAATTATTTTTACAATTGCATAGCAATATGTTATCTAGAAAAAATATGCCTGTATATTTGATATGATTGAATTGAATGTGAAGATTATATTTCTAAATTTTGTGTAATTCAATATTGTAAAATAAAAAAAAACTCTCCGTACAGTGCGGAAAAAGTTGAGCTAAGTGCAAAATAAAAATAAAAAAAGGTACAGAGAGAAAAAATCTCTCCGCACAGTGCAGAGAGAGTTAAACCATGTGCGGAAAGTTGGCGAACTCTTCGCACAATGTAGAGTAAAAAAAATCTTCGCACAATGTGGAGAGATGACAAACAAACTCTCCGCACAGTGCGAAGAGTTGGTCCGCACCATAACAAAACTCTCCGCACAGTGCGTAAAGAGTTGAACCACGTGCAGAGAGTTGGCAAACTCTTCGCACAATACAGAGTAAAATAAACTCTCCGCATAGTGCAGAGAGATGACAAACCAACTCTCCACACAATATAGGGAGAAAAAACCCTCCCACAGTGCGGAGAATTGTTTTCAAATTCTTTAATTACAAGTCAAATTTCAAGATTGTAAATTTTTCATATATACAACGAAATAGAGTCGAAAAACATGGCTCAAAATCAATTATGTCTTCATTAAATTATAATCACAGTTTAATTTCTGAGCATGCAAATCATATTTACAGTATTGAAAAAGAGCTTTCTCGTGATTCATACGATGAAACAATACGTGAGTTGTGCAAAGGAGGGGATATTGATAGTACCATGACATTGCTTTCACAAATAGAGGCTCTAGGGTACCATCCAAATTCAATATTTTATACTTGCTTGATAATAGCTCTTGGACATTAGAAGCGGATACAATTTTTAATGAAATTATACTTTCGGGTTGTAGGCCAGGAATTAAAGTGTTCAATACATTGCTCAAAAGTTGTTTGAGAAAAAACCTCTTGGAACTTTCAGATAAAGTCTCGAGAGTTTTTATTTTTTCTTCACACTATGCGAAGAGATAGTTTGCCATCTCTTCGCAAGTCTTTTTTTTTGCTCATGTGCGGAGTTTTTTTGTCTCATGGAGTTTATATATACTAAATTTTATTTTTTTTAATGTTGTTGGCATAATGCGTGTGTGGAAGAATATTTGTCAATCACTATAAATGAAATTATTCACACAATGCAAAAAATAAAAATACATAATAAATCTTCTTATTATGCTAATAAAATTATAATAATTTTTTTTTGACAAATAACATAAAAAAATTAATGCAAGTGACAATCATTGTGTGGAGAGGTTTTTTTTTTTTTTTAACTTCGCACTGTATGGAGAGTTTGTCAACTCCCCGCACTGTGCGAAAATTATTTATTATTATTTCTTACTCAGCACTGTATGAAGAGTCCGCACTTTATGAGGACAGTGTCCACACAAAATGTCATTTCTTTGTACTATGCCGAGAGTTTTGCCATGGCGTTTAACATCTCTCGGCACTGTGCGGAGATTTTTTTTTTTTTTTTTTTTTTACTTCGCACTGTGCAGAGAGTTAGCAAACTCTCTGCACATGATTTGCCATCTCTCTGCACTATGTGGAGAGTTCTTTCTTCCTTTTTACTCCGTAAATGATTTGTCGTATCTCCGCACTGCGGGGAAAGTTTATTTTTATTTTTTTTAAAGTTCATGTACGGAGATTTTTTTTTTTTTTTTGGCTCATGACAGTTTATATTTACTAAATTTATTATTATTTTTTAATGCTAGTGTCATGATGTGTGGAACAACATTTGTTTAACATAAACAAAATGGAAAATAAAAAATGACATAATGTATAATAAAATTGGATTAAGTAACCATTGCATCAATAGTAGACCCTCCTTCCCCTTTTTACTAGAAGTTAGATGTAGGATTTTTAAGCCTTGTTTGGTAGGAATTAAAATTAAAATTAGATTTTTAGTAAATTTTGATAAAAATGAATGAAATGTATGATTAATCATAAAATGCATGGTTAAGATATATTGTTAACTTTGACTAAATATGACTTGGAGTCGATCCAAACCAGCACTTTCATCTTAGACGTCAAGACAAGATTGTCGAAATCACACCGATGGCTTCAAATTTCTACACTTTTCTAGAGGGTGTTTGGAAGATATTTTTATGTAAAAATGTATTTTTGAATAGTAAATTGATGGAAAATGTGTGGTTGAAAAATAAGGAAATTTTTTTGATTTACGTGTAATATTATTTTAATAAAGAATGTGTGGTCGAAAAAAAAAAAGAGAGAAAAATGTATTTTAAAAAAAATGGGTACCAAACGGGCCCTATTTTGTAGACAAATGGGCCCCACGTGGCAACGTCAAATCATAACCGGGCCTTGTCCACATGAACATAAGCAAATGTTGAAAATTATTTTATTTTGGGGGATATTCCTAATTTGTATATTTCTTCTGATTGGATGTATGACAGAGAATATTTGAGCCCGTTTGGGAGTGATTTTTTATTCCAAAAAATTACTTTTTTGATTGTTATTTCACTATTTCAACTTTCATTTTTGACTTCTTCTCTTATAGGTGGCCCCCACTTTTCTCCTAACGGTCAAAAAATCAATTCTCAAAATTCCTACCGAACATGTCCTACATCTGAACGAATGGATAAAGATATCTGAACGAATGGATAAGAAGACGCCCAGCAGATTTATCCAACGGTTGGAATGCTCATTAATTTTTTACTTTTTTCTGCCACCTCCATTCCTAATCGAAACAACCTTCTGTAACATTTCAATTTTCATTGCAAGAAGATAACGAGTCTCGTCTCCCGTCCACGTTAACCATTCGTCTAAAAGTTGGAAGTCACTGGAGAGAGCAATATGTATTCATTTACATCAATACTCTATTTTTGCATGACAACTACACCATCTTCATAACAAGTCTCAAACTCAATTCTAAAAGTTTAAACTATATATTAGTTGAAAGATAAGATGTATTCGTTTTAACACAATCTGTATTCAAATAGCAAAAGGAAAGAAACTATTGATTTTCGGTTGTGGGAAAATCTTTTCAAATCATTTTTGGATTAGTATTTGACGTGGGTACACATGCTCAATCGCATTAATTCTTCAGTTTCCTCAACATTCCTCATCGATGAGACGTTGGAACATAATTAAATTAAGACGTGACGAGTTTATATTATTTGATAATTAATAAGGTATTTAGCCTTACAAATTTAGAATGTATGGTTAAAATTAATGTTTGACTTTGAATGAATTTATAAATTAAAAATAAAGTTGCTATAATAATAATAATAATAAACTCATAAATTTTGGTAATTAATAAATTCATTGTTTTTCGATGCTTATTGGTTGATGTACCAGTCTGCCTATCCCTCTACAAAGAACATGGTTGCGGTGCCCACTATCTCCAATTCGAACAAGCTTCCTACTATGGGAAGAACTTGGCCTTTTAGTGACGGTGGATATATGTGTCTCCCGGGGTCTACAACGAGGAAACGTTTAAGGAACGTCGTCCATGCAATCTAGACTTTGTTTAGGTTTTCGCCTGGTTTGCAAAGAGGTGTCTAACATGTTTATAAACTCATTTTCAGGGACTCGATTTTGTTTGTGTTGTCGGAGGCCAAGAAACATGGAGTTTATTTGATACTAACCTAGGCGAACAATTGGGAAAGCTTTGGAGGGAAAAGACAGCACGTTCAATGGGCAAGAGACCGGGGCCAATACGTGAACAGCGAAGACGAATTTTCCAGTAACTCAGTTATTTTAAAGTTAAACGCTACTACAAAAACCATATCAAGGTTTCTACACATATATATAGCTCCTTTTACTGAATTTCAATTGAACATTTAATTTTCTTGAAACTATTCCAATCTGCAGGCCGTGCTCACGAGAGTCAATTCCATAACTGGCGTTCCATATAAAGATGATCCTTCCATATTTGCACGGGAGCTAATGAATGAAACCTGTAGTCAATCCGACCTCTCCAGGTAAATTTAGCTTGTCAAACATGACTTTCAAAGTTACTATCTCATATAAATCTTGGATCTTTTTACAGGATTGGATCGAGGAGATGTCGGAGTATGTCAAATCAATTAACAATAATCATCTGTTAGAAGTTGGGCTTGAAGGATTTTATGGAGAATCAATCTCTGATAGGAAACAATTCAATCCTGGTTAACAAGTTGGCACTGACTTCATTTCTAACAATTGTATTGCCAACGTAGATTTTGCTACAATCCGTCTATACCCTGATCAATCTGATCAATCGTAATAATCTCTATGAGAGTAGTACCATCCAGATCCAGTATTATTCGGTAGCATCCTAACACTGACATATACATTTGTATACACGGCTAAATTCACCTAAATGACAGGGTATCCGGCTCAAGCTGAGTTCATAGAGAAATAGATCCAATCACATATAGAAGACTCGAAATCAGTGCTCGGGAAACCAATCATATTGACTGAGTTCGGGAAGTCTTCAAGAACAGAGCTCTACACTGTTGCTGCTCGGGACTCAATACAAACTTGAGAAAATTGATCATCTATTTTTTGCCAAATAAATAAAAGGGCATTATTATGCACTATGAACTGGTTATAAAAATGATATGTAACCTCTAGTCTGTAATAAGAAATATACCTAAGCAATTCAATATAAGTTCTGTCCAATTCGAGCTCTATACATTAATATGGGAAATCAGTACTTCTGAAGCAACCTATCACCAACATCTCTTTGCATTATCCAATAAGCATATTCATTATGCAGATGTAAATAAGTTTTACCTTCTTTTCCATCTTAAATGCTAGTATTATACAATCTTCCCTACCACACATGCCATGTCATGACAACTCCATGCACCACAAATTCAACTGTTCTATAACAAAATCCATAAAGCATTCTGTCACTTCAATAAGACGAATGAAGGGGAGAAAAGAAAGGGGCTGGGAGTGCAGAAAGAACAGCAAAGTTAAATAATGGTAAATGATACAAGCCACTCATTTTTATTTTTTAAATGCCAAAAGAAATTTAAACTCTTTGATTGAAAGAACAACTATCTGGCTTTTTAGCTTTTTATTATCAACATTGTGCTAATTCATATATAAGTCAGCTGTCGAAGACAAAAAAGACAGATTTGATACCTCCTCCCCAGTCGCAGGAGTGTATGATTAGATCGACAAATTGATCTTACTTGCTAAGTACCAAGAATGCATCGCAAGGCTACCAAATGATATGATATTAGCAAGAGAAGACAGTCCATGAATCATTCCGAATTTCTTGTTCATGGCAGCAAGTTTTGGGTTTTTCTCTGCAACTTCTCGGTTCTTAGTCGACCCAATTTCATCCCCAATTTTTGCCTCTCTCTCTATCTTATGCCTTTCCTTCATCATCTGCTAGGTACCAAGCACGTCATATCATGTGTCAATAAAATGTTGACGTATCAGTAGAGAATTTGTTAATGTAAAGAAAGAAATGCCTGAGTCATGACGATTATCTCACCATTACTTTCAGTACGAGAATGATTCCTGGGCATGGGGTTTTGGTAGATGGATCATTATCTCACCACCAATGGCTCACCTCTTTACTCATTTCCATGGCCTCGTTAGATAGGTACAATAGAGTGAAATAATAACACCACTACATGTATATCAATTATCCCTTTTTTCTCAAAAAAAGAAGCACTAGTCATTCTCAAACGCCAACAGTTTTTCAAAATCACTAGTAACATGCAAAATGCCAATAGTTTTTCGTCAATTCCTTTTTTGACTATATCCGATTTGCTTCTATAAAAATATTGAAATAACTTAAAATATTCAAAATACCACACATTTTCCCTTCACTATTGATTGGATGTGTAAAATAAGCATTTTCGTCACTGAATTACTTGTAAGCAACTGTATAACATACGATCAGATGGTAAAAAGTTGATCGTAAGCTTGAAAGTTTGGGCAGTGTATGCAGGTGAGAACTGTGTAGATAATAAAAACAGCACAAACAAGAGGTAAATAGATTGTGCAGGAAATATGGGCAAGACAATTAATTTCATGATACACAACTTGGAATGAAATTAGGAAAGAAATGGCAATTTTGTTTTACCTCGATGGTCATGGGTGTAAAGATAACGAGATTGCTGAGATTGAAAGCAAACGCAGCGAGAAGGAATCCCAGTTGGTACTTCTCGGCAGCTGCTGAGGTTTTCCAAGGATGCAAGTATCCAAAAGCCCCCACCGTAACTGCACAGCACACACCCACCATCGAGAAGTAAGCCGGAAACATCTTACTCTGCAAGTTCCCAAATTGATGCCTCGGCAAATTCCTACAAAAAAAAAAAATCCCCATAATTTCATATAATTTCTACTTCAATTCTTTTTCCCTAATTGAACAGCATATCAATTTTAAAATTAGGGAAATTGAAGAAGAAGAGATATTGGGGTTTGGGTTAAAAGGGGTTTTACTTGAACATCATGATGCCGCCGATGAAAGTCACCCAGAGGGCAGCGCCCCAGGCAGTTGAGAAACAGAGGAGGTGGGCCAGCTTCAAGAGAGTAGTGAGTCTCGGCGGATGCTGACCCTCCGATTTTGACCCGAAAGTTTCCGGCGAAAAAATTACCCCGAGTGCCAAGAAGGCCAGTGCTGTTACAAATCTTGTAATCCAAGCCATTTTTATACAAGATTTTCTTTATTCAATTATCTGAATCGATGATGAAGGTGAGAGAAATGTATTTATAAGATTCACAATCTATTTAGGGGGACCCATTCAAACAATGTTCTCGGTTAAACAATCTCATTTCAATGTTTGTTGGTTTCAATTATAAAATATAATAAATAAATAATATCAAAAGTTCAAAATGTCCATACCATGAAAAAGATCCAAATATCGCTTTCAATCCATTTAAATTTATCATTTCATCTCCAAAAATTATCGTCTTACTCTCCTTGTAGTAATGTAAATTTTTGTTATCTATTACTTCACTCATTTTCTTCAATATTTTGAATATTTGAAAAAGAATATTGATTTTTATACTATTTACATTGAAATCTCTCCTATATTTCAAGAAAAAAAAAAGTATTTTTAGAAATGTCGTGTACATTGATACTTTTATTGTTGAATATAGTATGAAATGATATTTTAGTTGATTTTTTTTTTTTTTACATTTGGTGTATTTTGGCTGTCCGCAACTATTGAACGATAATGACACTCCAGTCGTTATTTGTAGTGTAGAACGATACTATAGACGTTATCGTCCATGTAAAGCGACAGTAAAATCAAAAGTGTAATAAGTGTTTGAAAACTGGGCATGACCATATCACTTGTACGGATCATGTATCACTCAGTGAGAGATATGAACGATGAAGACAAAACGACACATCGTTAGTTTTTGTGGTTTATAATGTGCTATTTTTGTAATATTGAAAAATAATGGTGGTGTTATGATATTCTGCTTTTGTCATTTTGAAATGCAAACTATTTATAATGTTTGGAACGATTGGTTTTGACATTATCATAGGATCGATGAAACTAGAACGGCAGATATACTTTAATTTTGTTGTTATAAAACAATACTGGTGTCGCTTTAAATATTTCACCTACAAATTGTAAAAATAATAGTCAAAAATTAAATATTATTGATTTAATAGAAACTAATTTCAAAGTATACATTATATCAATTATTCATATCATGTTTATATACGTAACAGAACTTGTGCCATTTTCGTAACAGTAACGGCACTTTTGCCCTTTTCTTTTCTCATGTTGATTAAGTAACGAGCATATCTCTCAAATTTTGTAAATGTCATGTCCATCTTACAACTTAATGAGTTCAAATTATCGATTATTGAAACTCAAACGGGTCGTGGGTACTCATACTCGTATTTATGGATAGAACGATACACGTATCGTTTAATAGCACCTTGCCGTTATGTTGATTTCTCTATTATTTTGATCATTTTTCATCGAAACGACATCAAGTATTGGACTCCCTAACTTAAGAAAGTCGAAAATGTTATTTATGTGACAAATGTCAGTAGAATTGACATAGATTATATAATATCAAGTTGGAGAAATTACAAGACATTATCTACATTCGTTAGAAAATATAATTAATGGGCACCTCTCAAATTTTGTAAATGTCATGCTCATCTTGCAACTTAAGTGAGTTCTTATTGATTATCGAGGCTCGAATAGATCGTGGGTACTTATAATTATGTTTATAGATAGAATGACGCATGTGTTGTTTAATGACGCTTTTGTAGTTATGTTGATTTCTCTAATATTTTGTTTCGTTTTCACCACAACAACCTCAAATATTAGACTCCTTAACTTAAGAAAGTCGGAGATGTTAGATATGTAACAAATATTGGTAGAATTGACATAAATGGTATGATATCGAGTTGGAAAAATCCTAAAGCATTATCAATATTCGTTTGAAAATATAATTAATGTGCATATCTCTCAAATTTTGTAAACATAACGTCCATCTTGCAATTTAAATGAGTTCACCTTATCGATTATCGATGCTCAAATGGGTCGTAGGTGCTCATACTTGTGTTTATAAGCAGAACGACACATGTGTAGTTTAACGGCACTTTTGTCGTTATGTTGATTTCTCCAATATTTTACTTCGTTTTCACCATATCGACTTCAAGCATTGCACTCCCTAATTTAAGAAAGTCGAAAATGTTAGTTATGTGATAAATATCAGTAAAATTGACGTAGATTGTATAATATTGAGTTGTAGAAATCACAAGGCATTATCTATTTTCGTTATAAAATATAATTAATGAACATATCTTTCAAATTTTGTAAACGTTGTGTCCATTTTGCAATTTAAATGGGTTCATCTTATCAATTATCGAGGCTCAAATAAGTCGTGGGTGCTCATACTTGTGTTTATAAGTAGAACGATACATGTGTTGTTTAACGATACTTTTATCGTTATATTGATTTATCCAATATTTTACTTCGTTTTCACCATACCGACTTCAAGCATGCACTCTCTAACTTAAGAAAGTCGAAAATGTTAGTTATGTGACAAATATTGGTAAAATTGACGTGAATTGTATGATATCGAGTTGGAGAAATCAAAGGCATTATCTACGTTCGCTAGAAAATATAATTAATGAGCATATCTTTTAAATTTTGTAAATACCATGTCCATCTTGCAACTTAAATAAATTCAACTTATCGATTATCGATGCTAGACCGGATCGTGGGTGCTCATACTCGTCTTTATAAATAGAACGACACGCGTGTTTTTTAACAGCACTTTTGTCGTTATATTGATTTTTTCAATATTTTACTTTGTTTTCACCATAACGACCTCAAGCATTGGATTCCATAACTTAAAAAAGTCGAAAATGTTAGTTATGTGACAAATATTTATAGAATTGACATAAATTGTATGATATTGAGTTGGAAAAATCACAAGACATTATCTACATTTGTTATAAAATATAATTAATGAGTATATCTCTTAAATTTTGTAAACGTCATGTCCATCTTGCAACTTAAATAAATTCAACTTATCGATTATCAAGGCTCGAATTGGTCGTGGGTGCTCATACTCGTGTTTATAAATTGAATGGCACATGTGTTGTTTAACGATACTTTTGTCTATTTATACTTTTGTTTGTAGAAAGAACGGCATAAATGACACTTATACCGTTCTATTGATTTCTACAATAATTTGCTTCGTTTTCACCATAACGACCATATGTATTGGATCCTCTAACTTCTCTTGTGCTATCCTCATGAATGACTTTGTGTATCGTTAAAACGTCACTTGTGCAATTGAAATGAGCAAATCTCTCAACTGAAATTAGTAAGGCTCGTGGCTGCTCATACTCATGTTTATCGACAGAACGACACGTGTGACATTTAACAGCACTTGTGTCGTTCTGTTGGTTTCTCCTATATTTCGCTTCATTTCCACCTTTTCGACTTCAAGGATCAGACCTCATAACATGAGAAAGTCAGAATTATTGATTCAGTGGCGAATAACTGTAGAATTGACATAGATTGTAGATGTCGCGTTGGTGAAATCACAAGTCACTATCCACATTCGTTGGAAAACAAAAATAATGCGAGTATTTCCCAAATTATGTGAGCGGCATGTCCATCTCATGACTTAAATGTGTTCAAATTATGGAATATCGAGTCCCGAAAGGCTCGTGGCTGTTCATACTCGTATTTATCGACAGAATGACACATGTGACGTTTAATGGTACCCGTGTCATTTTGTTGGTTTCTCCTATATTTTGCTTCATTTCCACCGCGACGACCTCAAGGATCTGACCTCCTAATATAAGAAAGTCAGAATTATTGATTGCATGGCAAATAACGGTAGAATTGACATAGATTGTAGATGTCGCATTGATGAAATCACAAGTCACCATCCACATTCGTTAGAAAACAAAAGTAATAAAAATATCTCTCAAATTATGTCAGCGACATGTCCAACTCGCAATTTAAATGAGTTCAAATTATGGAATATCGAGACCCGGAAGGCTCGCGGCTGCTCATACTCTGTTTATCGACAGAACGACATAGGTGACATTTAACGGCAAATGTGTCGTTCTGTTGGTTTCTTCTATATTTCGCTTCATTTTCACCGCGTCGACCTTAAGGATCGGACCTCTTTACATAAGAAAATAAAAATTATTGATTTCATGATGAATAACGGTAGAATTAGCATAGATTGTAGATGTCGCGTTGGTGAAATCACATGTCACAATCCACATTCGTTGGAAACCAAAGTAACGAGAGTATCTCCCAAATTATGTGAGCGGCATGTCCATCTCACGACTTAAATAAGTTCAAATTATGGAATATCGAGGTCCGGAAGGCTCGTGACTGCTCATACACGTGTTTATGACGTCACCCGTGTCGTTCTGTTGATTTCTCCTATATTTCACTTCATTTCCACCGCGTCGACCTCGATAAGACCTCCTAATTTAAGAAAGTCAAAATTATTTATTACGTGATGAATAACAGTAGAATTGACATAAATTGTAGATGTCAAGTTGGTGAAATCACAAGTCACCATCTATATTCGTAAGAAAACAAAAGTAATGAGAGTATCCCCTAAATTATGTGAGCAGCATGTCCATCTCGCGACTTAAATGAATTCAATTTATTGAATATCGGGGCCCGAAAGACTCGTGGCTGCTCGTACTCGTTATCTTGTCAATAACGGCACAAGTGTCGTTATATGAACAGTAACATCGCTTGTGTCGTTCCCATTAATAAGGTTATGTCATTATAATGTCACTTGTGTCATTTTTTAAAAACTTTTCAATATCAGTAACGGCACAAGTGTCATTCTCATAGACTTGTAAATTTAAATATAATGACAGTTATACTGTTTTAAACATTAACGGCACAAGCGCCGTTCTCATGAACAAAACTTGACCAAAATAACGATCGAATTACTATTATCATAGAAATTCATACACACATTTAAATGAAAGACATAAAAACTGTAACTACAATTCATATTCAATTTGAAGCAAACATGTGCTTATCACATGACCTCAAACATGGATTTCCTAACTTAAGAAGTTAGAAATGTTGATCACGAGACAAAGAACGGCTGAATCAACATAAGTTATTCTATTATTTTCAATAAAATACAAGTAATGAGCATATCTCGTAATTTTTTTAAATGCCATAATCAACTTGCTAGTTAAATGAGTTCAACTTATTATTTCACGAGGCAGGGACGGGTCCTGGTTGCTTAAACACTTAATGATAGACAGAACGACACAAGTACCGTTTTATTATCAGTAACGGCA